AGTCTGATCCTAGGATCCACATATGAGGGAGAACATATGTCGATTTTTTTTCTGAGATTGTGTTACTTCACTTAGTATAACAGATTCTAGTTCCATCCATTTACCTGCATATAGGTAAGTGCACCCGTGTCGTATTTTGGGGTTGGGGATTTAGCTCAGTGGTAGAGCGCTTGCCTAACAAGTGGGTTCGGGCCTCAGCTCCAAAGGAAATAAAAAAGAAAGAAAAAAGTTTTATTATTTTTTAATTTTATGTGTATGCATGTATTGCCTGCATGCATGTAAGTGTGCCCATGTCATGCAATACCTGTGGAGGACAGAAGAGGGCTTCAGATCCCCTGGAACTGGAGTTATAGATGGTTTAGTCGCCATGTAGGTGCTGGGATTTGAACCTGGGTCTTCTGCAAGAGTAGCTTGTGCTCCTAACCACTGAGTCATCTCTCCAGCCCCTCAGCTATCTTTCTTAAATAGCTCAGACCATCCACCTAGAGATGGCACCATTCACAGTGAGTTGGGCCCTATTACATCAATTAGCAATTAAGAGAATGCCTGACGGACATGCCACAGGTCAATCTGATGGAGAAAATGCCTCAACTGAGGTTCCTTCTTCCCAGGTGTGTCAAGCTGACAACCAGGATTAGCAGTCACACACTGCTTTCCTCTTTGCCCTCAATTTGATTTCCTGTGAGGACCATTAATGTCTCTGGAGGATGGTGGGTCTTTAAACACTGTTTAAATGAGAGAAAAAGATTTGGGAATTTTTGTACCCCAAATGATTCCAGCAATATTTAACTATTTTTTTTATGTAAGGGACAAGCATTTAACAGCCTCCATAAACACATCTGGGGGTTGGAGACCTGGCTCAGTTGGTAGAGTGCTTGCTTACCTTGTACAAAGCCCTGAGTTCAATCCCCAGGACTACACAGACTAGGCATGGTGTTGTGTACCTGTAATTCCAGTAGTGATGGTAGGCATGGGGCAGAGGCAGTAGGATCAGAAGTTCACAATCAACCAGAGGTACATAGCAAGTTTGAGACCAGCTGGGGCTACATAAGACCTTGTCTCAAAAATACAAAATCAAAACAAAACAAAACAAACAAAAAACCAAAAGAAGTTCACATGTGCAAGCTTCCAGTGGCCTGAAAGCTTCTGCTTCCCTGTGTTCATGAACCGGACCTGGCTCTTACAGTGTTTCCCCTCTTCCACAATGGTCCCTGAGCTGTGGGTGTAACATGTATGGCAGAATACATGAGCTTCGGTGGGGGGTTGGGGGAGGCATGAATGGGAGAGGAGGGGTTAAATTTTATTACGAACTGTTGTATGAAATGTACAAAGCTCAATAAAAATTTTAAAAAAACCCAAAGAAACAAAACAAAAACCCCACATCTGGCAGAGCCAGTTATTGGGATTAAAAAAAAATGATAAAACATAGTACCAATCTTGTGGGGATTCTCAGTCTAGTCTAGGGTCTCCAAAGTTTTCTGGGACAAGGTCTTCTTGAAAAAACAGACAGCCCCAAGGCTAATGAGGTCTGGCTGAGGCTTCCTGGCAACCATTAGGTACCTTCCTACCCTGTCCTGGAGCCCAGATGCTGATATAAAGCTACTTCATGACCCATTGACCATGAGATGTGGCTGTCACCAGCGTTGAGGCGTGAAGAGCAGGTGGCCAGGAAGCTCAGAGGACAGGACTCAAGAGCACAAGCAGCCTTGCACCCAGGCCCAGATCAAACTGTCCTCCCAGAGCCCAGAGCACCTACAGGCTACCACACACTGGGCAAAGCAGACCCAAATCTTGGCATTCATGAGGCCAGATCTGTAGCAGAGATAGCAGAAATGGGGTTACGTGGTCAGAGGCACTCTGAATGACCACTATGCAAGGTGCATGGGGAAGAGGGCAGACCCTCTGTGAAAGTGTCACTGCACAGGGACTCAAACTACCAGGTGTGTAGGCAAAATAGATTAAAAACAACAACAACAACAACTGTTGGCTGGGATGGAAACCAGGGCCTTGTGTATGCTAGGTAATAAGCACTCTATGGCTGAGGGACACCCCCCAGCCCCAGAACAGGTGAATTCCAGGCAGGTGCTCTACCACTGAGCCACACCCCCAGCCCCTCACTGGGGATTTTAGGCAGGTGCTCTAGTTATATTTCCAGCCCCCCCTTTTTTTTTCAGTTTTTATTTTGAGACAGTTTCATTAAGATCCTGGGCTGGACTTGAATTTATCTGTAACTCAGGCTGGTCTTAAACTTGTAATCCTTCTGCACCTGCTTCTCAAGTAGCTGGGCTGACAGTCCTGAAACACCAGGCAAGCCCACTGATTCTTTTACTGTTCTACTTATGAATGACAAAATGCAGCCACTCTGGGTGACTCAAGTCTCCAGAAGGCTTTTTGTTATCTAGGTGTGAGTCACTACAACATGGGACCTCCCCATGAACAACAGGAAAGACTCAACCCCCAGTAGGTTTGAGCAGGTGGTAGATGAATGGGGAGGGCACAGAGCTGTCCCCCGTGAGCCCTGCCTCTTAAGATCCTAGCTACACACAGCTCACCCAACTCAGTTATACCGCCCATCCCTCCTCTCACTCCTCTATGCAACCTTACCTCCTGCAGCCCAGCCTAGGATGCCCCATCAGCTGTTCAGCCAGCCTGTGAGTATCTCAGGCTAATGGCCCTGCCACCCCGCCCTTCTCTCCCTTCCAGCTCACTGCCGATCACAGGCATCATCCAGCAGCCCGAAAGGGGACTCGAGCCTCAGAGACATCCGGCAGCACCAGCAGGTGAGTCCCTCTTTCCACGACTTCTTCTTCAAATCCCCAGGCCCCCATGCCCAGGATTTTCCCTGAGCTATGACAACATGGATGAGACCTGGTTTGCCTTGGAGTGTTCCCTGGGGACCGCCTTGGCCTTAATCTCCCTGCCTGATGTAGCTAGCAAGCAAAAACCTGACTTCTCTCAATCTTTTTAAAAATGTTTATGTGTATGCATGTGGAGGCCAATGAGTGTGGGAGGTCCAACCTAGAGCTGGAGCTATAGGTGGTTGTGAGATGCACTATGTGGGTGCTGGGAACTGAACTCTGAAAGATGCGAGCTCAGAAAGAGCAGCAAGTATTCTCAACAGCTGGTCCATCTCTCCAGCTCCAGACCTCTCTTAGTGAGGAGTCCTTCCCAACCCTCCATGTCTGACATCGAGCAGGTTCCCACAGGAGCAGAGGTGGGCAGTGTGCCACAGCAACTCTATCCCCAGGGAGTGGGGACCAAGGAGTGAACTCAGCTCAGGGGTCTTAGTAAACCTGTGGTGTGTACGCAGTCCTGTTCTGAACAACTTCTGTCCCTCTCTCTCTCCAGAACCCCAGGGATCAGATATCGCCTTGGCTCTGGAACTTTCCATCTCTTCCTGTTACACCAACTTGCTGTCTTCATTGTAAGAGGTGATACAGTGGAGAGGGAGCCGGAGCCTGGGAGCTAGAAGTCCTCATTCTGATGCTGGGCTGCTGCTACCTCGCCACCTCTTTCTGTAGGCCTTTGCATCTTTGGTGGCCTCCAGGACTGACTTTTGAACTTCTGGGCAGTAGGGACACCAGTGTGGGATTCCCGCAGCTCCTTCCCTCCTACCGGAGATCTGAGGACAGGGAATAGGAGGGTCTGTGGCAGCCAGCACCCACCAGGCCCCATGGACCTGTCCCCGCAGCTCTCCTTTGCCCTCTACATCTCAGCCTTTGCACTGGGCTTCCCACTCAATGTACTGGCCATCCGAGGTGCGGTGTCCCGCGCCCGACTGCGTCTCACCCCCAGCCTAGTCTACACTTTCCACCTGGGCTGCTCTGACCTCCTTTTGGCCACCACTCTGCCCCTGAAGGCCGTGGAGGCCCTGGCCTCTGGGGCCTGGCCCCTGCCACCCTCTTTCTGCCCTGTCTTTGCCTTGGCTCACTTTGCCCCTCTCTATGCGGGTGGCGGTTTCCTAGCTGCTCTCAGTGTTGGCCGTTACCTGGGAGCTGCCTTCCCCTTCGGATACCAAGCCATCCGGAGGCCACGCTATTCCTGGGGTGTGTGTGTGGCCATATGGGCCCTTGTCCTCTGCCACCTGGGGCTGGTCCTTGGGTTGGAGGCTCCAGGAGGCTGGCTGGACAATACCACTAGTTCTCTGGGAATCATCACACCAGTGAACGGCTCCCCGGTCTGCCTGGAGGACTGGGACCCTGCTTCGGCTCGCCCTGCCCGCCTCAGTTTCTCTATTCTGCTCTTCTTTCTGCCCTTGGTCGTTACATCCTTCTGTTATGTGGGTTGCCTCCGGGCCCTGGCACACTCAGGCCTGAGCCACAGACGGAAGCTCAGGGCGGCCTGGGTGGCCGGTGGGGCCCTCCTCACTCTGTTGCTCTGCTTGGGACCCTACAATGCTTCCAACGTGGCTAGTTTCGTGAACCCAGACCTGGGAGACCCCTGGAGGAAGCTTGGGCTCATCACAGGAGCCTGGAGTGTGGTGATCAACCCACTGGTGACTGGCTACTTGGGAGCAGGACCTGGCCGGGGGACAGTATGTGTGGCAAGGACAAAAGGAGGAACAACTCAGAAGTAGGAGCCACTGCTGGGGCACGGAGCAGAATTGGGTGACTCCTCCAGGCCCCAGAAGGGGCTGCTCCAACAGAACCCGGGGGCGGCCTGGCCCAGAGGCATCGCAGGAGTCACTCAAGGGAAGGGCTGACCTGGAAGAGGACAGTGTCCCTGTACAAAGAAGGGAGAGGAGGTCAAGAGCTGGGACACAAGTTCCACTTCGTCTCTGCATCTGGCCTTTCCGTCCTAACAACCTGTCTGCCAGTGGCTGTGGGTGGCTTTGTACTTGTGGAAACAAGGACACTTGCTTTTAATCCGGAGGAACAGCACCCCAGTGATACACTTTTGGAGTGCTTGCTTCTCTGCAATCATTTCTAAGAGAGGAGCATTTCATTTTAATTTAATTTTTGTGAGCCGGCAACATCATAATCCTGTCATACCACCTTGAACTCACTAGGGGGCAGCATTTGAGCTGAAAGCAGAAAGCTGGCTGGGAAGATCCTGGCAGGGGTGGAAGGCATCAGAGACAGTAATGAACTAGAACTATAGTGTCTAGTGGGTGACAGGCACCATGCAGAGTGTCTCACAATGGCTGTGATCTCACTTCATCCTCACACACCCACCTTTTTCTTGTGGTACTGAGGAAAGGAAACCAGGGCTTTGAACACGGTAGCTAAGTGCTTTACCACTGAGCTATATCCCCAGGCATCCTTGTTTCAAGAGACAGGGTCTAGATGTGGTACCCAGATTGGCCTTGAACTCTTGGGCTCAAGTCTTCCTCTTGTGTCAGGCACAGTCACACAATTCTTTGACTGAACCAGATGCCTGTGTCCAGATGGGCAGGTTGTGCATTACACACAGTGCCCAGCAGAGGGAGCCAACATTGACTTAACTCTCACTCCAGCTATGAGGAACATCTATTCTGATCTGATTGAAGATAACACATTCTCCTCCACAGAACATCTGGGTGCAAGGTGATCTCAGACAAAGGCTGCCTTCCCCTCACTGACCCAAAAGTGCTGCGTTAAGTAGCCACGGTGATGATCACCTTTATTTTGGGGGTTGTCACGATTGCCTAAGACTCTATAACAAGGATGAGGGGGAAGTAGGATATGGTCCTTCCAAGCAGGACACTTGGAAAAACTTGGGGTGTCAGTCGTATTGGTGGTCCATCCGGGGAAAGATAAGAGGGGCACCCAGCCCTCAAGAAGCAGGGCAGAGGAGATCGTCTGTGAAGGAGACAGATACCTGGCCATCTGCTCTGATGAGGCCGACTATCAGAGTCAGATTTGTTTCCCCCACCCGCACAGTAATGCCCCCAGCTCAGTGGTTTACAGAAATGAAATAGCTGTGTCTTCAGTCTGAGTGTCAGGCTTTTTGTTTTGTTCAGCAACCGATCCATAGCACTTCAAAGAGAGAACCGCACACAGTAGGTGTTCAGTAAATGTTTGCCGAATGAATAGATGATTCTGATTGCTCACCAAAGAAACTTTTGTGATCCTTATTTTGTAAAAATGGAGACAGACTGGAGAAATGAAGGAACTTCCCACATGAGCCCGAGATAAGTTTGGCTCTATCTAGGTAGTGGGGACACCAGAGAATTTCAGTAAAAGTCTAGGTAGCTCCACTTCCTGCCCCTCATAGAGCTTAGACCTTCTATTCACTGCCCTGGAGCACCTACTGGGATCAGGACCACTGCTCCCAGTCATCTGTGCTTCCTCTCACCTCAGGGCCAATCCACTTCCTTTCTGAGGCCCATTAGGTCCTGCTGGACCCGCTCCAACTTCCTCTACTCCACTGTGTTTGAATCCTTGGTCATCCAGTTCACCATTTGAAACTGGGCACTCTCAAATCCCTCTGTCAGTAGTATTTCCTGAGTGTCTCTTTAGAATTGGTCTTGATCATTTAGTTTCCCACCACTAAATGCAAGCCCAGTAGAAACAAAACCTTTGTTTTACTCACTGCCATATACCTGTAATCATTTAATATATAATTTACATGTCAGAAAATTCATCTACACTAAGTACACAAGCCTAGGAATTTTAGTAAATTCGCTGTGACCGTGACGTTGTGATCTAATGGACGATTTCTACCACCCCAGTAAGAGCCCTCATTTTTGTACATCTCTATTTCTTCCCTCAGCTCCCAGACAACCACTAATCTACTTTGTGCCTCTAAAAATTTGCCTATTCTGGGCATTTCACGTAAATGAAATCATGTAAGATAGAGTCTGTTACGTCTGGCTCACTTTATTTACTGTAGTGTTTTGAGATCCATCTGTGTGGTAATTAAAGTCTGGGTAATTTGTTCCCAGTTACTGCTAAGCAGAATCCCTTGTCTGGATGCCTCCCGTGTGTTCATCTGTTCACTAGCTGATGGATTACAGGGTGATGTTTCTACCTTTGAGCAATGGTCACTAGCGCTGTGCTGAAGATATGTATGAGCTAGTGTTTGTGTACATGCACATTTTAGTGTTTCTTCAGCAAATACCTACAGTGGAATTGTTCATCTATGGTAAAATTATGTTTAACTTTTTTGTGTGTTTTTGAGACAGGGTCTCACTGTGCAGGGCTGGCTGGCCTCACTTTATAGAGGCTGGCCTTGAACTCACAGAGATCTGCCTGCTTCTATCTCCCCAGTGCTGGGATTAAAAGTGTGTGTGCAACACCATGCCCGGTTTTGCCAAATTTGTTCCCACGTGTCTTACCTGTGGCACTTTCTCACTGGCCATGAATGAAGGCTCCCGTGTCTGTCTGACCATCTCTGAGAGCACTTTATTCTATCTGCCGTTTTGCTGACAGCCAGCCACTCTGCTGGATGTGGAACACTTTCATGCTCTGTATAAATAGCTGAGTGAACGCATGTGTTATTGCTGAAGACGGTAGAGCTGGGTTTGAACCCCTGTGGTGATGCTTGACAGGGTGGACCCTCTGAAGAGCCACTTCCCTGTCATGAGATAAAAGAACATTAGGACATAAAACAGTGGTGCCCAATGAGCAGAAAGCCTGCTGTAGAGTACATGCCCACTCAAAGAAAACTGCACCTTTATTTCATATCAGTACCTCATCCTCATCATCACCCTCCAGAGCCTCACCTGCATCCACAAAAGGACCATGGCAGGGGCAGGGACAGGCTCTATTTTAATCATGTGACATGTTTTGTTTGAGTCCAGACTGGCTGCAATCTCTCTATGTAGCCAGTAGTTGAAGATGATGTTGAACTCCTGATCTCCTCTACCTCCTGAGTGCCGGGATTACAGGAATGCGGTTCTGAGGATGGAACTCAGGGCTTCATGTATGCTGGGTAAGCACTCTACCAACTGAGCTACATCCCCAGTGCAAGGGCTCTTACCCTGCCAACATGTATATTTTTAATTTATGAAATTGTTAGAATCGTTATCTCTGTTTTAGAGATGATAATGGGGGACACAGAAAGTTGAAATCATTTATCCCAAATCATAGGGTTTGCAAGGAGCCGAGTCAGCTCCAGAACACAGCCTCCTATCAAGGCATTCCACCTCGCACTGTTTTAAGAACTAGACATAAGCAGCTCTAAGCAAAGTCAGAGTGAAGGTGAAGGGAGGCACACGACCCTGGAATTTGCTCTCTCTTTTTGCATATGGACACAGCCCTGATAGCAGAGCTCAAAGCATCTTTTGTGCCCTTGTTCCACTGCGAGTGACGTCATAGGCACTGCCAGGTCTTTATCATTTCTGCCAGATAACTAGCTCACCACCCTGGGGCTGGAGGGGACGGTAGAGCTCTGGGATTCTCCAATAAACCGGTGAGCGTGGGGCTGAGGATCACACAGAGAAACATCTTGGTGACTTGTGCACTGGGTGAGGGACAGGACACGGGAAAGGCAGGTAGGATGACCCAGCAGGGGAGAATGTGTGGGACCTCTGGGGTGGGGGAGGCAGTGGTGACAGCATGCCTGGCTGACGGGTAAGATGCTCCTGGTGAGGAACCAGATGACCCCCTGTCCTCACACTATCACCTTTGTTTCTCCCTGTCTTTCCAGAGGCTGTGACCATGGTGCAAAGCTTCTTTCCCGGCAGCCACTGGCTGTTCTTCACCGTCTACCTCTTGGTCTTCCTCGTGGGCCTCCCTCTTAACATGATGGCCCTGGTAGTCTTCGTGGGCAAGCTGCGCAGGCGCCCAGTGGCCGTGGACTTGCTGTTGCTCAACCTGACCCTCTCAGACCTGCTTCTGCTCCTCTTCCTGCCCTTCCGCATGGTGGAGGCGGCCAGCGGCATGCGCTGGCTCCTGCCCTTCATCCTCTGTCCCCTCTCTGGGTTCCTCTTCTTCACCACCATCTATCTCACCTCCCTCTTCCTGACGGCTGTGAGCATCGAACGCTTCCTGAGCGTGGCCTACCCACTGTGGTACAAGACCCGGCCCCGGCTGGCCCAGGCTGGTCTGGTCAGTGGCATCTGTTGGTTCCTGGCTTCGGCTCACTGTAGTGTGGTCTATGTCACTGAATACTGGGGAAATGTCACCTACAGCCAGGGAACCAATGGAACCTGCTACCTCGAATTCCGAGAGGACCAGCTGGCCGTCCTTCTGCCCGTGCGACTGGAGATGGCTGTGGTCCTTTTCATGGTGCCCCTGTGCATCACTAGCTACTGCTACAGCCGCCTGGTGTGGATCCTCAGCCGGGGAGCCAGCCGGCGCCGGCGCAAGAGGGTCATGGGGCTTCTAGCAGCCACATTGCTCATCTTCTTCGTCTGCTTTGGGCCCTACAATATGTCCCACGTGGTGGGCTACGTCCGAGGTGAGAGCCCATCGTGGCGAAGCTACGTGCTGCTCCTCAGCACCCTGAACTCTTGCCTCGACCCTGTCGTCTTCTATTTCTCATCATCTAAATTCCAAGCAGAACTTCAGGAGCTGCTCCAGAGGCTGACTGGAGGCTGCACGCCTTGGTCTCAGGAGCTTAGCTTGGAACTTAAGGTAAAGAATAGAGAAGAGCCAACCAAAGAGTGTGCAAGCTAGAGAAAGGGTGGACCAGAGGAGGGCTGTGGAACAATAGGCCCAGTGCTTGGGTTGATGGCAAGGCTCCTGGGGAGGCAGGAAGGGGTGGGCAGATGTATGTTCCCAGGGCAAAACAGTGTCAGGCTGGGTTTCTATGTGGCTGGAGGTAGAGCTGTCACTCAGCCTTCCTAGGACATGCTCACACACCAGACTGCAAATTGCCCTCCTTCCCATCTTCCTACCTACCTTGGATTCAGCTGCGGGAAGTTATGGGGATGAAAGAGCAAGCCTCCACAGCAGCTGGCCAGCTTTGTGTTTTTCTGATGGGGAGGAAGGGGTTAAGAGCAGCGCTCAAGGCTGGAGCTGCCCTGGAGACTTGCGTTGGGAGAGGGGTGCAAGCCACCCTTCAGAGCTGCAGATCCCTCCTGGCACTTCAAAGTAGGGGAGACAGGACTCTGGGGGTGAGGGAGCAATTTGCCCTGTGAGAGATTTTCTAGGCGGTTCCTACTCGGGACACTTGTGAACAATGGCAGGCAAAATTTATCCAAATAAACTCGGTATAGTAAGGAAAAGAACATGGTATGTCTGCACCTCCTTCTGTTGTTTGTTCGTTCAGCATTACATTGGATAGAAAAAATGTCCAGACTCTGAAGGAAAAGGGCTAAAAGATGCCCAGGGGCCAGCAGAGGATCTAGATTGGAGGAATAAAATTAGTAACATGTCTGTCTTTAAAATTGTTTTATTTAGAACTAGGGAGGTAGCTCAGTTGAATGTCCAGAGTGCCAGCATGCACGAAGTCCTGGGTTCCATCCTTAGCACCCCAGAAACCAGACATGGTTGTGCATGGCTGTCATCTCAGCACTTGGGAGGTGGTGGCAGGAGGATCAGGAGTTCAAGACTATGCTCGCTACATGATAAGTTTGAGGCCAGCCTGGGCTAAATGAAACCCTGTCTCAAAAAACTCAAAACAAAACAAAAGGTTGCTAAGGAACTTAAATAAGATCACAGGGTGGTTCTGGACTTGCACTGGGCAGATGATAATTTGTAGGGTAAAAGTCTAGGTCACAGGGGTCGCACAGGGAGCAGGGAGGTTTTAACTGTAAACGAAGCTCATAATCTTGTTTTTGAGATTCCAAGAAAATTTCAGTTTTACATCTGAGAGAGGAGCGAGGCTTGGGCCTTAAGCATGGTTTATTGCAATTTTAACTTTGGTTTTTGTTTTTTTGAGACAGGGTCTCCTTGTAGCCACAGCTGCCCTGGAACTCACTATGTAGACCAGACTGGCCTTACTCTCACAGAGCTCAACCTGCCTCTACCTCCAGAGTGCTGGAATTAAAGACATGCACCACTTTGCTGTCCCTTGCATAATCTATGGTGACCCAGCGCAGTCTTCTAAGGATGGGGGATACATGTGATGAGGACAGATGTTAACAGGCCACCTCCCCAGCCCAGGGACCTCAATACCGATGTTAAATGTTTACTTTCTTCTTGGGAGATGGAGAATTGGCTATGGGCAGAGGGTTGAGTGAGATATCACCATGGAGAGATGAAGGCATGATCTGTCTCTCATATGTGCCATGGCGCAAGGCCTTCTGCCACGTGCCTGCTAAGAACTGGACCGAAGCACAGATCTACAGAATTCTGAAGGGAAACAAAGGTACTGTGGAACTGAGGAGTTTCGCGACTCCACAACTGGTCACAAAGCTGACATCTGTGAGATGGAGGCCACCCTGGTCTACATACCAAGTTCCAGGTCAGCTGAGGTTACAGGAAGACCCCCAAACAAAGCAAAGAAAGGCAGGAAGAGTAGTGGTGTGGCTCCCCCACTCCAGGGCTTCAGATGGGGCCCCCTGACTGGCTTTGCTGCCCCAGGCATCCTCAGCACCACTGGCCCCAGACTAGTCAAGCTGCAGTCTAAAGGGGAAAGGGAGCAGTGTGTGAAATCATCAGGGTGATGGGAAAGGTGTATGTGGCATTTCCCATGACCTTCCAAGAACCGAAGTCTTCTGGCTCTTCAATGTTAACCTTCAGTGTCAACTTGACAAGACTTAGAAGCACTGAAAGGGGCTGGGGAGGTGGCTCAGCCTGTAAAGTGCCTTCTGAGCAAACATCTCAACCCCAGAGAAAAGAAAGAGATGTCGTGCACATCTAGAACTCCAGAACTGAAGGAATGGGGTGTGGGGAAGTGAGATGGCTCTCTGGAGCTTGATGGTCAACTAGTCTAGCCAACTGGTAAGCTCTGGGTTCAGTGACAGACTCCTCAAAAAATTAAGACAGCGCACAGCTTTGATCCCAGCACTTGGGAGGCAAAGGCAGGCAGATCTTGGAGTTTGAGGCTAGGCTGGTCTACATCTCAAGTTCCAGGACAGCCAGGGCTACATGGTGAGACCTTATCTTTAAAAACAGAAAAAAAGGAATTGGAGAGATGGCTCAGTGGTTAAAGGCACTGATTGTTCTTGTAGAAGTCATGGGTTTGAATCCCAGCACCCACATGGTGGCACAGATGAAATAAAAAGGGACTAGGAAGAAAGCCAGCCAGCACGTGTTCCCCTCTCTCTGCTCCCTGTCTATGAAGAAGAAAAGAACAGCCCTCACTCACCACACTCTGTGGTCAAGGATGCTCTGCCCAAGCACACGGGACCAAGACTCCCCGGATTAAACAGCTGAAAGCAGGAACCAAAAGGAATCTATCTCTGTCAGCTTTGAGCTTTTTAAAAAAAATTTGTGTGTGTGTGTGTGTGTGTGTGTGTGTGTGTGTGTGTGTGTGTGTGTGTGTGTGTTATGTGTCCAGGTACCTAAGGAGGCCTGAAGAGAGTGTCAGATTCCCTGGAACTGAAGTTACAAGTGGTTGTGAGCTGTCTGACGTGGGTGCTCAGAGCTGAACTCGGTCCTCCAGAACAGCAGCAAATGCTTTTAATAGCTGAGCCATCTCTCCAGCCCCCTTTGTCAGGAATTTTGTCACAGCAACATAAAGCTAACTAATATGAACTCTTGAAGAACAGAGAGGCTGCTGCCCCATGGGGCAGGGGAAGTGAGAAGGGCAGGGAGAAGGTGATCACGGGAGTGGCAGAGTATCAAACATCCCAGTGATTTGCAGGGGACAAAGTGCTATCTCCTATTCAGTGGGGGCGAGAGTGGTGCCCCCAGCAAGGGTGAAGGTTCTAGGGGTACTAGAAAGGGTCAGTCCCAGGTTGACTCTCCCAAGAGAGTCAAAAGGACTCTCCAAAAGGACTCACATTCTAGCTGCAACAGACTGGGCTTCTGACTCAATGCGGGCATAAGGGCTACTGGATCACTAATGCACAACTTCTCCAACTTTGTTAATTTCCCATTAAGGAGCCACTCCGGATATGGGGCACGTGCATGCCATGGCACACCGGTAGAATCAGAGGACACTTGCAGGAGTCGGTTCTTTCTTCCACCATGTGGGTCTCAAGGATCGAACTCAGGGTTATTAAGTTTGGTGGCAAGTGCCTTTACCCACAGAACCATCTTGCTGTTCCTTGTTTTGTCAAAACATCTTGTTTTGTCTTTTGAAACAGGGTCTTGTGTAGCTCAGGATGTTCTCAAACTCACTGTGTAGCATTGACCTTGACCATCTGATCATCCTGCCTCCGGCTTCTGAGTGCTGGGATATAAGTGGGTAGCACCATACCTGGCTACAATAAGGGAGATCACGCTGGGGATACCTCACAAAAGGAGAGCAGGGATTATTGGAGTAGGGGAGGTAGGAGTCGAATGAGTGGGGTACTGAGGAGTCCAACATCCAGCCAGACTGAGAAGCTGATTCAGTGGCCTGTTGCTTTGAAAAACATGAAATAGGGTGGAAAGTAGAATTCCGTGTGTGCCAAATTCTTATCTCAAGCTCCGGGGCTTGAAATAAGGCTGTTTCCTGTGTCAGAGGCTGAGATCCTCCAAGGGGAAAGGAGACCCAAGTTCTCAGCAACAGAGGTAATCGGCCAAGTGGGTGACAGCCAATGATTTCAGAGAACGAGGTTTCTCAGCAGTAGTCGTTAATCAACTAAACAATTTGTTTTTGAGACAGGGTCTCTTTATATAGCCCTGGCTGACCTGGAACTCTACATAGACCAGGCTGTCCTTGAACTCAGAGAGATCAGCCTGCATCTGCTTCCCAAATGCTGAAATTAAAGACATTCACCACCACACCTTGTAACTAAACATTTTTAAAGGGTTATAAAGGATCTCTTTTTCTTCTTCAAAACCTAAGTTGGTCCAATCAGAAAGACAGCAGGAAATGGTCTTTCCCCTCTCTCAGACACTCCCTCCCAGACACACCCAGATAGGAAACACCAGCCATCCTTGTCTCCTCTTATAAAGGGATGGGAAGGAGACATCATCCAGTTGTGAACAAAACTTACAGAACTGGGTGTGGTGCTGGTGGGACCAGGCCCGGGATGTGCATCAGCTTCTAGACTCCCAGCTTGTGACTAATGCTATAGAAGCTAAGGAGGCCCAGATGCTGGGTATGAGGTGGGGGAGCAGGAGGATCTGGGGTTCAATCTGGGCTACATAGCAAGACCTTGACTCAAGAAAAGTTCTATTAGCGAGGTGTGGTGACACACACTTTTAATCCTAGCACTCAGGAGGCAGAGGCAGGCAAATCTCTGTGAGTCTGAGGCCAGCCTGTTTTCATAGTGACTTCCAGAACCTGTCTCAAAATAACAATTCAAAACCAAAGGTTGGTAAGGTGACTCCCTGAGGAAAGGTACCTGCTGCCAAGCCTGATGTCTGCGTTTGAGTCCCAGAACCCATACGGAAGGAGAGACTTGACTTCTGCTGTCTTTTGAACTCTACACATGTGCTGTGACAAGTGTGCTCCCAATCAATAAATGTTACAAATAAATAAATGAATAAACAACTAAATGAAAATTCTGTTTTAATCCTTTTTTGAGACAGGGTCCAGGTTGGTCTTAAATGTGCAATCCTCCTGCCTCATCCTCCCAGGTAATGAGGTTACAGGTGTGTACAACCATGGTCAGCTTTATTTTCTTTTTTAAAAA